GCGCTGGAGATTTGGATTCTTGGCTCGGGGCGCCCCGGCGTGATTTTTATGACCCGGCTGGGGTTTAGGGTTTGCAGGGTGCTATGGAGGCTTTATAAGGGTTGACAGGTTTGCTTAAGGGTAAGGGACTAAAGGAGTCTTGTAGGGGCCAATGGGGTGCTTGTGAAATGGGGAGAGTTCGTCACTTGGGTTTCTGTTCGGGCCTATTGTTTATTCAACCACGAAGGTTTCGAACAGTCGTCCCTATGGGATTCTTAAACCAGTTGCTGGCAGAGATTGCAGTTCGACATCATGGTTTCGCTCGGGGCTCCTGTTCTTACAGAGACAAGGCCCCTAAACTCACCGAAACCCCGAACCGTAAAACCCTAAACCCCTCCAGATTGAGAACGTGCTCCGAATCCTGGGTTTAGGGTTTAGGGTTATCCTTTTAGTTTGAAAGTGGAGGGCTGAGGGTGCAGGCAGCCAGTGAGGGCTTAGGGCCTCGTTATGCGCTGATAGGGATTCAGGGCCTTTAGGGCTTGGGGCTCTGTACGGCATCCTATAATTTATAAGTATACTATCTAGGGCCAATAGTGATGAGGGCAACCCTAAACCTCACACCCTTCCCGAAAGTCTCGAAGCCCAAACCCTCAGATCTACGCACGATTCAGGGTTGAGGGTTTAGGCATACTGTTTCCGAATTTCCTGACTTCGGAGCCCTACCCTAACATCGCCGTAGCTGGTCCACCTTCTGCAGGTTTGGCAACGGCGGCCGGCCGCGCCCTATCCTTATCTACGGTGAGCCTAGGCTGCATTTAGCATTATGCCAGGAAGAGGCGTGAGGATTTAGGGTTGAGGGGTGAGCAGCAGATTGTCTTGTGTTCCGGATGGCCTCTTGCAAGACCACTGTGTAGTGTAGTTGCTGTTGGTTTCGTTGTGCGACTGCCTTTGTCCGCTTGATTGATGTCGAAGTAGCCATGGGACTCCTGAGTACTTGCAACCCTCATCCCTGAACCCTTTAACTCTAGACCTCGACCCTAAACTTAGATGAACCTCGGCCCAAACCCTAACATGTGGATGATCAGGCCACCTGAGGGGGTGTTTGATTAGACTCCCGTGGATTGGAGCAATTCGACCATCTTCCACCCCACAGTCTTACAACACCTCGGTTCGTAAAGTTTTCACTCCCTAAACCCAATTCCCAAACCCCTGAAGCCCGTTCAACCCTCAACACGCCTTCGTGCTGGAGGTTGGGCTTGTTCAAGACCCGAAGAAACCCAGACTTAACACCCTAAAACCCCAAACCCCTAAA